TCATTGTATCATTTTTCTTACTTTTTGAATATGTGAATACATTGCCTATTCAAAAAGTTGGGTAAAAATTTTAAGTGCAAGGACCAAATTAGTAGGAAGCCTGAGGCCATGTGAATCAGAAGGAAGAGGCTACAGACAGCAGCAGCCACAGCAGCATTGGGAATGCACTTGGGAAAAAGAAAGGGCAAAGAGGGCAGACGTGGCAAGGGATCATCAGTTAATTGGGGTCCGTGGAAAAGAGCAGGGAGATTCAGAGGCATGTGTACCTCAACATGACAGGAATCCTCCAGGAGTGGCATGTGATGACTGGACTTCACAGAAAAATGAGCTAAGTGTCCTGCTCAAGTTCAAGCTGCTTCAGTTACGCTGGGCATTGTCATTGGAGTATAGGAGAAGAGGAGAGGCTCACAGCCTGAACCATCCATTTTGAGTATCTGTGCTATAAAAAGAAATTCGCAGAGTCCTTGGGGGTGGAATGGAGCTGTTTGTGGCTGTATCTCGTTTACTTCTCAGCACTTTGGGGATGGTATTATCCCTTTTTAGAGATAAGGGAACTGAGGTTCAGAGAAGTTAAACAACTTGTCCAAAATGATGCAGAAAGTATTGGAAAGAACTAGGGTTTGAGTCCTAGTCTGGAGTCAAATCCCATGCTTTTTTAGTCTGAGTCGCTAGCCTCCCCACAGCCTCTCCTAATCTGGGCACCTCTTCAAAGGTAGAAACAGCGGTGCAGACGTTCAGAGTTCCCTGAGGTGAACAGTTAGGCTGGCAGGAGGAAGAAGCTGGGGTGATAAGGAGGGGCCTGGGAGCTGGTTTTGGCTCCAGCACTAGGCTGGTCTCGAGGCAGCCAAAGTATTGAGGACCTGAGACTGGGGTAATGGGGGGACACATAACCAAAAGGAGCAGCAGCCACAGCAGCATTGGGAATGCACTTGGAAAAAGAAAGGGCAAAGAGGGCAGATGTGGCATGGGATCATCAGCTAACTGGAGTCCATGGAAAAAGAGCAGAGAGATTCAGAGGCATGTGTACCTCAACATGACAGGACGGCTTAGGGAAACAAGCAAGGTCAGTAGAGGGAGGAGGTTGCCAAGGAGCTTATACTTGTATACTCTCATGGGGAGGGAGGTGTTGATTACATGCTTATTCTAAATATAACATTAGTACCACTAAAATGTCATCTTTGGAACATGCCTTAAGTCACCTGTAATTTGTCCGTATAGGCAGTAAACCCCACATTGATTCAGATGTGACTTTGGGAAGTTAATTGTTTATTAAAGGTGATACATCAATAGCAGCTAATAATTTTTGTTGGAGAATGGACTCTATTTTGGAAAATAGCCAAGTCTGATGCTGTTGTCCCTGAGCTCACTATCCACATGTCCCTTCATCCACCCTACCAGATAGACAGGATGGGTTCAGCCTGATGTAATTTGAACATGGTCCCTGATGTCCTTGTGCCCTGAAAAGCTGCAGATTTGCCCATACTGGTAACAGCAGCTCTGGAAGATAGAGGTTGGGCAATGTGGGCCAATGGGGAGGCCGTGGCATGTACATGTCCCATGCTATTTGGTGTGTGTATGAGGGGCAGGATCCTGCACAGAGTCAGATCTGTCTTCCCTCCCCTAGGCATCCAAAGGGGATTTCAGCCATTAAATGAAATAGCTCAACAAATATATTCAAGTTAACATCAAAAAGAGAAGGGAGAGGAGAAGGGAAAGAAGAAAATAGTGAGGGAGGAGTTATGACACAAGTGATAGAGGCAAGCACTTGGAAGTGCTGTTGGGGTAGATCCTGAGTCACCAGGAGGCAGGCCCAACCCAGGAAAAGACTGTAGAGAGGCCGCATTGGCTAGACGCCCCCCAGCCATTAGATCTCAATACAAGATCACTGAAGGGAAATTGAGGCACCTACCAATGAAACAATTAGTATCTGGTGTATGCATCAAACTGATTCATGAGCTGATGTGTGCTAAAGTTAAGGGGCGGGCATATGGGGGTTCATTATGCTGGTATCTTTATTTTGGATTATTATGTTTGAAATAACAAATTTGTAATTATAAGTAAAAGGTCTCTTACAAATGGGAGAGCTATGAAGGAGCCACATGTCCAGGTAGGATACTAGCAGAGGAACTGTAAAATCAAGAACAAGCAGGAATCCATGAGAATTTGCCTTGGGTTTTCTTGACACTGCAAGCCAGGCGCTCCTAACCTGGGAGCAGACAGGATCCCTACTTCCTGTAATTGTTGCCAATTGACCAGAGTGTTTTCATGGAATTGGTGACAACCCCCTGCCCCAGAAGTTAATAGATTACATGCTCTTAATTTGTTGAGAATTTTTGAAGTTGTCACCCTCTGGCAGATTCAGTGACATTCAATGATAAATATCCAATAGAAACCATGGTTTTGGATAGGTTGAGGCTCAAAACATATAGATACCCCCTGCCCCTTGCTCCCCAGAGAATTCCTTAAAAAACACCTTTGTGTTCCTTGCTAGTGTGACAGCCAGTCTGACATCCAGCCCCTGGCAGCTAGTTCTTCCAAGAAGTCCAGCTTCCCAGAAAGGGCAGAGCAGGCTGACTGACCCCTGGTCTCACAGCCTGGTGGGCAGAGAAGGGGGATCAATTTTGGGGGTAGTGCTTCTGTCTTGAAACCATCTCTACATAGAAGTCAAGGATTTAGCTGAAACATGAAGGTCTCTTCTCTACAGGCTGACCCTCACAAGTTAGAAACATGGACCTGGTCCTCTGGCACTGGGAAGAGAGATGGGAGGCAGGGAAGGAACATAGGGTCCAGGTATTGTTCTGCAGGTGGGGCTCTGAGTCTGCCCACCCCTTACCCCCAGTTCAGAGAAGTCAGATGAGGAAGCCTGAAACCATGCTGCACTGTCCAAGGAGGAGGGCCTAGACAAACACCCTGGTCTCCCAGGGCTGTCTTCCCTCCCCTAGGCATCCAAAGCCACACAGCACCCTGCCCCTCATCCTGCAAAGTGGTGGAAACCCTTGGAAGGAATCTTCCCATCCCTCTACCAGCTTGCAAGGCAGAAAGGATGGGGGATGCCGGGGACAAGGAGAGAAACAATGAAAAAGGTCTGTCCCAGGAATGGCTCTGCTGAAGGCATGTGGTTGGGGTGCCTCTGTCTAGGCTCTCCTCGGGAGACCTGCCCCTCCTCTTCACCAAGCCCCATTTCATGTCCTTCTTCCTTTAAAAACACTCTTTTCCCCACTGGGTGTTCTGGGTTTAAATACCTCCATGTCTAAGTGTGGGATAGGCAGCACTCCAAGAAGCTCCCCAGGGCAGAGCCCCAACCTCTCCTTCTACAACCCCCTCCCCAGGATGCTGACCCTGTGGGCATCATGCAAAATCTGTGCTTTTCTCCATCCACACAAAGTTTCCATGCAGTGGAGTGTACAGGACCAAGGGCCAAAGGCTCAGTGGCATCTTTGGGGTTGCACCCTCACCCTCCTTTTATCATTGTCCCTTCTTGCTCTAGCAAATGCCAGGCATCCTTCTGACTGGGCCGTGGCTCTCAACATCTTCCCTCTACCTTCTCACCCAAGGTATCACACCACCTTGCCACCACCCCTCCCCCTCCCCCCCAAAAAAACACTTGTTCTACTGTTAGGTCAGGTGGCCTTGCTTTGCTCCTATCAGCGAGTGTTATATTGGGGCACTGCAGTCATCTATACCCACAGACCCCAAAGAATGGGTTTGCACCCATCACCTTCTAGAAGGAGCCCCAAGCTGCTGAAGCTCACAACCATGGCCTGTGTGGCACACAGATTTCAGGAACAGAAAGTTATTTCCAGTGGGCGAGTCTGGGGACTGCGAGGCACAGCTGGCCAGAATCAGAGAGGCACAGAAAAATGAAAGAGAGTCTTTTTTTTTTTTTTTTAAACTGTGCTTTATTTAGGGCTAAGCTGGAGAAAGCGTCATCCAATAGTTACAGAAGGTTACAAGGAGTTTTAGGGAGTTGAGTGTGAAAAGAGCAGTTGTACCGAACTGCAGCTGTTTTGTTTTGTTTTGTTTTGTTTTTTACAACATCTGGACATCCTAAAAGGAGGAGTCAAGAGAAAGAAAAAGAAAATTAAAAACATGAAAAAAAAAATAGAAAGGAAAGGAAAGACAGGAGGCCTGACAGGAACCAGAAATTTGTTCTTCTAAAGTAAAAAAAAAAAAAAAAAAAAAGTGATAGGTCCCAGTGCCCCCCTGGTCTCCGGATGAACTGGCCATCAGTAAGGAATTATGGAGGCAGAATGCCAACGCAAGTCTTCCCAAAGATGCAAATAAATTATAATAAATATGATATACTTTAAAATATATGTGTTCTTAAATAATTCAGTGTATTTTCTGATTCTGAGTTTTTAAGCAATGTCTTTAACTGCTCTAAAGTCATTTACCAAAGATAAATATCGTGCTTTCATTAAATAGTTTTCCTTGTTTTTTCTCTATCATTACAATTAAAAGTCCTACAAAATATGCAAATTTATTTACAGAAAAACAGAGCCGGCATCATTTAAACATCCCTGTTTTTCAAAATTCCTTGTAAACAGTTTCAGAAATTCTTCAAAGATTGTTTTTTTTCTCTCTCTTTTTTAAGGTTTTTGTGTGTGTGTGTGTGTTGCCTAGTTGTTTTAAGATGAAAGTTCCCAGTTCTCCCTTGCCCGGAAAGTCTCTGGATCAAGCAGGGAAGGCGAGTGAAGCGGGAGGTGTCCAGGGCTTGCGGAGAGCGAGCGCGCAGCTCCCGGAGCGAAG